TGGTGGAGGAAGCTTTGCACAGCATCTGCACCCGAACGTGAACGCGTTCTAACTGGGGACTGCCAGCGCCTTTTGAGTCTCAAACACCACACGGTCATGTTGGAGAGCCATCATCCGACCTCAGTTTATTAATCGCAACTTGCCGTGGCGGCTACTTCAAACGAGGCAAGGCCCCGCTGGCATGCCAGCAATGTGGTGAATGGCGCCCCCTATTAAAAGTAAAATTTCCAGGGAAAGTCATTGAAAGGCCAGTTGACTAAGAAGCCAAACCCAAAGGTCACAAATCGGATGGAGCCAGTTAGAAGCCCGCCTCAACGCGATACTTGCCACGTATGATATATGTCAATGCTAGTCACAAGTATGTTACAATCTGGGCAAATGGATGCACAATTCGATCGCAGCTCGATACGGCTTCCGATATTACGACTTTCTCGGCGAACCTGGAGGAAGATTGGATCATTGAGCTTCAGGCAAAACAATCAACACGTTCAGAAATGCTTCAGGAAGCAAGCTTTAACCGGGTTTTCTGGCCAAAATCAGCTCGAAAATTGTCAAAAAGGTTTAGCGCCATGTAGTATATAGTATAGAGTTTTTTAATTATAAAGTCAAAACACAGCATGGTGGAATAAGTGGTTGTAATCCGACGTTCCAGTTGCAGTGGGCGACTTTTCAAAAGGTTTTCTAAAAGTCAAAACCAGCATGGTGGAATAAGTGGTTGTAATCCGACGTTCCAGTTGCAGTGGGCGACTTTTCAAAAGGTTTTCTAAAACTAACTTAATACGAATCATACAGTGATATTTGGGTCACACGCAAGCTGACCAATTTTGACTGCCAGCTGATCACAGAGGTGCACTAGTCGTAAGACATGGTAAAGGGCTCAAATGTCACTGCATTTGACTCGAATTTAGTTGATTGTAGAAATCCTTTTAAAAAGGTCACCCATGGCGACCAAAACGTCGGCTTACGACAACCTATTCCACCACGCTGTGTTTTGACTTTATGATTTACGAAATCCTTAAGCTTCAGTTCTTGGATGAATTCGACTGTGAGATTACGAACCACCGTGATCCTGGTATTGTCCATTTTACTTCTTGTAAGCTCAATCTCCTGGGTGTAGGCTGGATCGATTGTTGGCCTCTTCCAACTCCGCCTATGAAAAACTTATACTGTCGACATCAACAAGATGAAAGCCGAAATTCCGGGCTGAAAACCGTTGCTTGTGAGAGACAATCGCTCCGGGCATCAAAGATAGACTACTGGTTGCTGCCTTAAATCCGTGGACTATGAAACGTGTCTTGTGGCGCTTGACCTTGTTTCCTTGGAGTATCCTCGTCTCCTAAGAGACCGAACACCTACTTATATCCTCTTTGTACAAGGTTTGATCAACAGGTTTTCACCTTTGATTGAGATACCACACGGTGGGGACGTGAAAAAATATTTTAAGCTCAGAACGCACACTTTTATGGGGGAAATTTTTCTGATTTCGGGTAGTTGCTGCATGGAATAACCTTCCTCAGTCGGTTGTTTGGGAGAGGTGGACCAAGCAGTTAGAGCACGAATTTATTGACCGGAAGGTCCGTGGTTCGAACTCGACCTCTGTTACTCGACTTACCCCGTCTAGGCTTGAGCAACCTGGCAGTATCCTAGCCCCCGTGCCTCCTTCGTGTAGCATGGCAGCTAGGCACCGAAAGGGTGCTACAGCTGGAGGATTATTATTATTATGTCCAAGCTTCATCTAGAATCTCATCCAAAGCACTATTGGACACCTATTATTCGCTTCTTTGCGCTGGCAAGCTTACTGCCCAGCGCTGAGAACTAAAACAGCAGCTTTTCAGCTGAACGCTAGCCGCTGAACAACAAGAACAATATCCACCGGATTAACTTAGGTATAGGCCTTGATACTGTGTAACAACCTGTGAATTCATAAATTCGCGAAACCAGAATCGTTATAGAGAAGATTGTGTTACTCTGAGGATGTGTTAAAGACCTTTGGCTGTCAGGGGTTTAGGGCAAATGGCTTCGTGGATTAGAGAGACGCTCAAGATTTTAAAGTTTAAAGACAACTACTGTCTTTAGATCAAAAGAATTTGCTTCCATCCAGAGCGGCTGGCCAAATATTATGGGAACATTTGGTCAAGCTGAACCCTAAAATCCTCGGGTTCCCAATCACCTGACCCCAAAGCGTTGACGGTGAAAACAGCACGCATTTACATTCTCTAGTAAAGAACGAGCTACCCAGAGCCTATCATTGTTCCGACGCAAATGTTCTAGTATAGAGAATTTACAACGCTCTGGTCAAGTTTTGGCCCCCACTTCTGAGTTGTTCTTAGTTCTTCATTTTTGGGCCCCAGAAAGGTGGTCGATGATGAGCCAACTGATAGTATCAAATTTACTAGATTGATTTGGTTTGCACTGGGAATTGCCTGCACTTGCAGGCAAACGATACTCTCCCTCCATCAAATGAAAAGTGTTAGCAAATATTTTGAGTCCGCAAAATTCGAATTTTAGGGGGATATCTTAGATTCGGCATTCAAAGGAGGCCCAATTCTCGCAACTTGCGGGGCGCATGCCGTCAGGCATGGTCATAAGGTTTCAGTCAGAATAAAAGCACGGCTGTGTAAAAGGGGGTTGAGAAAATGAACATCGCCGTAAGCGGTGGGTATCATCCAATGTAGGCGGGGTCACCACTAAACCGGCAGGAGCAGGGAAGGACAGTTACTATGCATTTTTGAGAGAATATCGAGCAAGATCAATTCGTTAGGATCGGAAGGTGTTGAACCAAAACCAAAGTGAGGGGGGCAAATAAGAAGCTTCCTGCCTGGCACGTGACAGGAGAAGTGTAAACTGCGGAAAGCGAGGGACCAGTACATCAAATCTGGTGAAGCAGCAGAGTTGGCGTCATCGGGCCGGTCAAATGCAACGAAAACCTGAGACCACCGCTGAGGCCTCATGGCCTCGGACTGTTGGGCTCATGGCCAGAGTCACAGAGGGCCAAAGCTAAAATACGAACGTCTGCGAGGTCTGCACCTAGATAAACCGCGATTTAGGGCCTGTTTCCCAGAAATTGTGGTCCAGTATCGAACTTAGTCAACGTTTAGCCCAATTCGATAAGATAACGACTGAGCATAATTCCGAAATCAGGCTAGCACTTGCCGCAAGAATTTCGGGGCCTTGCTCAGCAGTTTCTCTCTTATGGTTAACCGCGGTTGTGGTCGATCAGCGCAACAACTTTTCGGCCAAAACTGTACGCATTAAACCGTTCAAGTGCAAGCAATGTCGCTAGACGCTTTTCCAATTGATGACCTTACGTTAGCGCAGTCACCTGATCTCGGCCATGATCTCAGCTGCACTGGGGGCTGAAATTCCATGAGTCCAGAGACAAGTTGGCGAACAACATCAAATGGGGCGGCAAAGCATTGACCAAGATGTCAATCAAATGCTCTTTACGTTGTCCAGGACATTTCTTTCAGATATCACCCAGAAGGAAATAGGGATCTGTTTCCTGAACCACAGTTTTCAGATGAGCCACGGATCTGAAATTCCATGAGTCCAGAGACAAGTTGGCGAACAACATCAAATGGGGCGGCAAAGCATTGACCAAGATGTCAATCAAATGCTCTTTACGTTGTCCAGGACATTTCTTTCAGATATCACCCAGAAGGAAATAGGGATCTGTTTCCTGAACCACAGTTTTCAGATGATGGCTGCTGTCTAAAAGCAGAAGGATGGCGAACAAAACGGGTGGTCTTGCAACCTTATCCCGGTGGGATTGTCAAACACTTGGCGTGGTAGCTATCATACAGAGCACCCAAGTCGTCAATACCCAATGAGAGTGTGGACACGGCACCAACTGCTGCAACAACCTCAGTGAGGTCGTCCTCGTTCTCCAATCTATTCCAGAGAACTAACAGTGTCGGTGCGGGTGTTTTATTTTTGTTTAGAAACAGTTAACTCACTTACTGCTAAGGAGCTTCAAATTCACAGCCTCCTGACTGGTAGCGAAGGTCTTACACTCTGTCGCGCATTTGTGATCACCATTGTGATTAGCTAAATTCTTGAATAGGTACTTCAAGACAACCAGGAAATAATCCAATTTGTCACATTTTTAACCCGAAAAATGAGCTGATAGGATAGAGAAGTCGGACGCTTTTGGCATTAGGACTTTGGTCCAGCTGTGATACTATTCCGATGTATGGAGGAACAATTTGGGCCACGATACTACCAAGTTGACCGGGCTTAAAAAAGACCGCGCAAGATGCAACAGTCAGGTTCAAACCAAAGAACCTTAAGCCAGTAAGCTTGCGCCTTAACCACTGAGCCATCTCAAGTTCACCAGGACTTTGCGTTGACCATGTGGGCCGCAAAAAGAACGGTAATCATGCTATCACGTGGTTTCGTCAAATTTCAGGTGACTTTCATGGTTTACGCAAACGTAGGCGCGTTTATGTTTTCTACACTTTTAATTAAACGGTCAACACCAATAGCCAACCTTATCCACGTGTTCCATTAACCAATGAACAGAAGTACGTCCTGCAAAGTTTCGCCACATTGAACAAAATTTTATTCAACTTGACTCAAAGTACAAGTGCGCTGCAATAAGTCCAAACGCCACTGTGTAACCAGCAGAAGGAAAGATGGTTAAAGCGCAAATTTACTGACCGGACCGTTCGTGTTTCGAACCCGACCTGTGCCTCTCGACTTACCCTGTCTGGGTTGGGGCAACCTAACAATACATAGCCCTCGTGCCTCCTTCTTGTGACATGGCAATTGAGCATCGACATGGGCTGCTACAGCTGGGCGTGTGAACAACAGAAGTGAACAGGACAATCGTAATTAACAAGGCCAAAGCATGTTGGGCGAACAAGGCTCGTGACTGGTAAATTACTCACAGAAACAAAGATCCTAGATAATAGCAAAGAACTAGCAAGTATGGGATTACGCCTCCAGCTTAGAGCTTTGGAATGCAGCATTGCTGTTGCCTTTTCAATCACGTCACTCTATTATCTGAGTCGTAAAATGGACGAAGATCTCTGTCGCCTTTCCGATTCATCAGCGCGGAAAGATCCATTCGGTTGCCGTGACGATAGCGTAACTGCACTGGTCCCGTCTTGCTCATGCTCCAGGATACTGGTCAAACGGTTCAACACTGCAAGCATTGTGTCTTGTTTGGATTCGATCTGAACAATACGGTCGTTAACGCTCTCCAGTGTGGAACGGATGTTATGTGTCTCCTCTACTTCTTCGTTTGTGCCCGCTTGCTGGCAAAAAACAAAGGTGGAACAGTGAATCAGAACACTAAATTTGGTTGGTCAAATAGTGTCTTTGATTATCGAACGTGCCTCTTTAGTGTGGTTTGGCTTGACACAATCTGGAATAGGCCAAACTCGCTATATAATTGAAACTTTGAATTGGAAAACAATCATACAATACAGACCTAAGGAGGCACCGTTCACGAACATGAACTCGCTAGTTGTAATAAGGTCCAATCAGTTTTGCTATCATGGACGCTCACCCACGTTACATGCACTCGAAATCCTTCGGTGCGACAACTGCATTCAGAAACGCTAAAGCTCACCCCAACAGAATCCCAGTGAAGCCAGTTTCGCTGGTCGATCTACTCGAAAACTCATTTAGTGTGGGCAGAACAGTGACCTTGGCGTCCAAGGACGCCCGAATTCCCGCCGTTGCAATAACCTTCAAGTTTATTTAAATCCTGAAAGCAATTTCTTCTCAGCGGAGAAGTTGCGGGGTCAGCAGCCCAAATATATCGGTACGCCGGCTGTGAATACGTTGAATAAGGTCAGCTTTCCCCCTTTCAATCCCGTCACCGCAATAACCTTCAAGTTTATTTAAATCCTGAAAGCAATTTCTTCTCAGCGGAGAAGTTGCGGGGTCAGCAGCCCAAATATATCGGTACGCCGGCTGTGAATACGTTGAATAAGGTCAGCTTTCCCCCTTTCAATCAGTGTAATCCTGTTCTGAACAATGTAGACAGTCCAGCGGTCAATGGACGTTCGTGGACAAGGAGGGTGAATTTCCACTCCAATTCTTTGGCGTAATCGATGACGGCCCACTTTCTGAGAACACGTCTTTAGATTTTGGCAGAAGGGTGGAACAGAATTACTTCAGGGGGCTAAGTAATTACAGTTTTCATTCAATTACAATATGAACGGTGCCGTTTGCAAACTTGGGACGTAGAACTATTCAGCATCACCTGGATGGTCAATTATTCAATTTGAAGCGCACTCCAGAATGGAAGCTTATCATTACTAACACACTGTAGTGTCTCATGAGAAGCCTTGGATCTAAAATATTGCGTTACAGCTCAACTACGGTCAGTTTTGAAGGGTTCAGGATAGCTCAGTGATTGAGGCTCAACTTTACTGACACGTAGGCTTGGACAACCTGGCATTATTTCAGCCCGCGTGCTTTCTTTCGGATGTCATGGCGATCAGGCACCGAAAAGGTGTTTCAGAAACTCGGTCTCTATTGAAACGCCCCTTGGAATATATATCCAACTATATATAGAGAGTAGCGAATACTGGTAGCTCAGAGAGCATAGATGGTCGTTGGTTTGTTCGCTGATCTGGGCAATTTGATTGCAAACGTTTCATCACTAATCATCAGTTCATTGTGAAACGTAGTGATGAGTTGGCGGTTGTGCGTTGAGTAGTGTTGTGTGTCAATATACTTGCTGCATGCGTGGGCTGACCGTCGATCACGATTAGTCGTTCTGTCGGGCGGTTCCACCAGCTACTACGTTATCCTGTGTCCTGATTGATCGATGACCACATGAACCTCGGGCCTGGCTCCCTCTGCCCTCATGCACCGATTGATGCTGGAGTGACCTCTGTCGTTGACCCATCGCTATGCCCCTTAGAAACGCTCTTATGGTGTCACCTCCAAATCAAATTGCAGCTAAGCAAACTAACGAACGACCACATATATCGAGAGGGAGGGAGAACACGAGCAATACCGGGAACACTCTAACTACGGATCGGACGTTTACTAACAATATTGCATGCCTATATCGATTGCTGGTGTCTTGATCCGAAGGTCTCAAAAAATGTGGCTCACGCATGATTGGGATGAAAATTCGTTAACATGTGGCCACTTGGATGGTCTTCAGGATCTAGGAAGGCCAGAGCTATGGTACAGAGACAGGCTTTTTGTCAGAACACACTTGTTTCCCCTCACATTGGCCGAAGAAATTTTCGTAGCTTAGAGCGCCTAAAAGAATGTCATGCGTGGAACAGTTTACAACCCGACAAATAGGCAAAAAGAATGGGCTTTAGAGGAGGAGGCCTTAGAATGACAGTGTCAACCAGGAATACGGACAAGTAAGCCGCATTCCCCTGAATGCGTATCTAAGGAAGCATGCTTGTACAGACAGCTGAGATATCCGTTTGCCTATTGGCTCTTTTCGGACAGTTCGCACGGATCATGATACTGTGCTGGGTGAGTACAGCACCAGAATCACACCCAAAGGAAACAACGAATGGTGCAGGTCATGTTTGATCAGTTCTTCAAGGATATCAAGAACCCATCATAAGCATTGTTCCAGGTCCACCGACCATGTACGGCCACCAAGTGCTGGTTAGAGCATTGCTGACCGGGAAATTTCCCACAGACTCCAATCACTCAATCACTCAAATTTAGTATTTCAACTCAGCACGCAGATTGTCGCCAAAAACAGATCTCACAAGAACTACATCATCTCAACCAAGCTATACTACGTAGATTACAATGTTCGCAACCAGGCACTTTACGCAGCCTATTTGTTGTAATTCTGGTAGCGTTCTCAAGCATAGTTGGTCACGTGAGCTGGTTTTCGCCACCAAACTTCCCACTCAATTACAATACTAAGCTGGAATAATCATCAACACTTGGTAAACGCTGCGTGGAAAGCGTCTACGAATAACCATTCAGATATGCCTTATGGTCGTCTTTTGAAGTTGACCAAAACTTACCAGTGGCCCCAATTCATCACCCAGATTTTTTCTCAGGCGTGACAACCACCGACTCAGTTTAGAAGAGGCGCGCTTGATGTTCCGTCCGTGGACCAGCGTCACATGTGTGGTGTTGAATCTTTTACGCAGCCAGTGAGGCAAAATGGATTCAATATCCAAAATCAGTTGAATCTGTGTTGGATAGGGAAGTCGAAATTCATCAGCGTCGTACCAAAAATGAACACTGGTGCTTCACCGCCATGTAACTGTACCAATTTATTTGGATATAATGGCAGAAAGGGGGACTTGGGATTAGCCTATAACAGACATCTGGGGTGCCATGACCTACAGCATCCAATGAGACAATCTGGATAGGAACTGACAGCATGAACGCCACTGACGTTGGTTTAGTGTCTCAAGCCAAGCACACGTTAACCCTAGCCTGCGATGCGCACAGTACAAACACCAACAGTAGTGCACTTTAGACTCTGTGAAATCTTTGTAATGCACTAGTCATAAGGTAGCTGAAGACTCCTCGACAGCTCACGACCGGCTTCGCCCCTTCTTTGGGCTCATCAGGTGGGTCTCTCGAAAAACCAAGTTAGTTTGCAATTTTTCTTCTTTTGGTTTTTTCTTCTTACGATCATTCACACACCAGCCTGTGTGTATCTGCGGCAAAAAGTTGTAACGAGAAAGTATGAAGTAGACAACATCTGCCATCTCAGTGACTCGAGTAGTTAATTTTACAAAAATCGAAATCCAGTGGGCTTGTTGCAACATGACACACCGTGACCGTCAGTCAGTGAAAACTTAACCAAAAGGCCACCTACTCAGTGTTATATTGCATGATGGCGTGTTCAAGCACTTTTCTTGTTTCTATCAACACTGACGGAGTCAACATGTGCGTGGCACTCTCATATTTTTCCAAGGAAATTGTGTAAGAATTCGGAAACCAACGCAAGTGTTCCGTCCTGTCTCAGTTTTTCGTGCTTTTGTTCGAATCCGCTATCCAGCTGTGGACACGCTTATTTGTTCAATCACACACCTATCTGGCGATATGACAGTGTTGAAGTGAAGCTTTCTGGCTCCAGTCACCCGCTGATTTTGCAAGTGAGAAATCTAGGTGCTGTCACGCTATCTGAAAGAAGCATGGGGTTGATGTGCTGCCGGGTTAGCTAAGCTCAGGCAAGGGGAATCAAAAGCCGGAGGTCGGATTCAAACTGCAGACCATCTGCTCAGTATTCTCTCTCCGCAACCACTATGTTACCTCAAGAGCGCCCACAGAAAGTGTACAAGCCTGGAGCTTTACGGGCCGCAAAAGTGCATCAAATTCAAAGATATTTGGGTTCCTGGTTTACTTCCTGCATAGAGGGCTGGAACAATTCCGTTTACCCCTGAATGGGCAAGCGACTGCACACTAATCGCATCCATAACGAACAGTTTTTCTTCAAGCTTACTGTCGACGGAGAACGTACAGTTACGTACTCTCAGGTGTGTAAATTGGACGGCAAAATAGGTGAGTGATCATCTGGAACCGCAAACGACTGCTACAAGAAGCTTTTGCGATGGTTCACATCCATGCTGGCTCCCAACTCCTGATGTCCAGGTTCTTCACAGAATACTACTCGACAATGGTTGAGGTTCTCCGGTAATTTTCTTTCAGAGATGGCAATAACATTTTGTGGCGAACCAGCTGAGATAATGCTATATCCACATAAACATGGTAAAATAAATAACCAGTCAATTAGGGAAACCTGGACCGACAAGATGAAACATTTCGAATGAGCATAAGAAATTACATTTGGAGGTTTTAGGAAAACTATGTGCATTCAACAACCTTAAAAGAACGACTGAAAACAACCGTTTACCAAAAACACGCTCTTTCTTCTATTTGTACCGGATTTTTGTCACTCCCAAGGTTGTAGAGAAGTTGAAAGTTGCACACTACTCGTATGGACACAAGTAGTTAGTGAGACCAATCAACTACCTGCATGGCCAACCGCTTCACTGAAGCCTGATTCTGAACGCCTTTGATGTCGTCCACGGCCAGACCGACTAGCAGATTCATTATCACAATCGTCATCACAATGAGAAATGTGAGAAACAGCGCGTAGGTGAGGCTGCCGAAGAAGATCGCATCACTGCTCTCCGTCGAACTGAACTGTTGGTTAAAGGTCTATGTGTGGCAAGAGAATGGCATGGAAAACATAACGGATACATTGATTATGAGAATTCTATTGAGGCGTAAAAGACAAAAATTGAGACAATACGGGTTTATCCTTGTACGTCATCAAGATTACCTCTAGTGAAGTATCACACAACTCCCTAGAAGGAAACTCTACATTAAATCCTTTCCGTTCGCATTTGTACACCGAGCTTGTAAATTGGCTTATAAACGTCTTGTCATCATGTGTGAGGCCATCTTCAGTGAATGGTTCGTTCGCCAATCGCTTCACTCTTGCTTGCGTTTATATAGTTTCTGAAGAGTAGTTAATAACTGCGACGGGGTTGGTTGTTTGGAGGCCGGTCAGTATACAATCTGATTGGTCATTTGGGTCATTATGTTTGCGTGCCCGTCTGACGTCGCGTTTATCGAATTCTCTTGAGAAACTACACAAACGCAAGCATCAGTGACTGACTTACCAACGCAACTGCACACCAATGAGGACTTCTTGCATGGTGACAAAATTTTGCAGGCTAATCAACAAGCTCGACGAAGAGGTCAACTGTTATCTGGCCAACGGCCAATGACCTTACTCGAGCTAACAGTATTTTGACTTACTGTGGATTCTAATTGTATTCGAAAAAATTTCGTGAAACAGAACAAAACAAAAACAAAAAACGTCTATTTTTCCAGAGTTGTTTTCAGTATACAACACTACAACTTACTGCCAGTTTGGTTTACGAA